TATATATATATATATGTTGTTTGGCGATCCCGGACTCCCAGGGTGGGGGTATGAGCGGTCGCAACTTGGATCCGATGATTCGGATACAAAACCGTCAGGCATTGAACCCCAAAGCCCCAAACCGTTATACACATAGGGTGGAGCCCGTGGGGTGGCGCAGTTGCTCAGAGATCTGTGATAAATTCCTCGCGGAGGAACTTGTTCGAGGAAGGGGTCTCGGGGGAACGTGTGGGTGGTTGTCCAAACTAGGGTCCCGTTTGGGTTCCCAACCTGCTGGGTGCCGTATTTATGTAGAGTAGAAACATGTAAGATTCCCCAAAGGCACCATGGATCATCATGGATGAAAATGTTCACAGTTACCCGCGTGACACTGGGCTCCTTTTCGCTCCAGCTCAAGTACCTGATGAACTAATGGAGCCTTAACATCTTCGGACACCCGAAACCCCCTTATTAAATCCTGTGCAACCCAACTACAAAAATCAAGGCTTGACGCACAAAGCTGCAAACGACGTCCTCCTCAGTGGAGACGAAATCCAAGATGTCATCGACTACCTGAAGAAAGTTGTGGATTTCATCTGGGCATTTCTGGTTTTCATCAAAAAGCCAGGGCTTTCGGGTGTAGGGTTTGAGGAAACAGAGTGCTTAACGTTTGAGAACCTTCAAGCCTTACAAGGCCTTATCCTCAAGCCGTGCCAGCCCGTGTGCCGCCGCATCTCCCATCTGCAACTCTGGGTTCATCGGCAACGAAGCAGCGGGAACCAATTTGTATGCTGGTCTGCGGCTATAGCAGGGCCAAGAACTACCCTCTGTGGATCACCTATATACTACTACACGCGAGACTTTACGGGCCCGTGTGAAGCCCTGAAGCACAACAACGACCTGAACAAAAACTGCTGACACCCAATACAACCCAATGCCATTGCCAACAGCATGTTAACAGCTCCCAACGCCTACACAATCGTTCGGGCGCTCGAGCTAACCTTTAACAGCTTCACCCCTAAGCCTTTACCCTAAACAGTTAAAGCCTTGATCTCGAAATCGAGGCGAGCCTGAAAGGCCAGGCCGACGTAAGCCCCAAAGCGGTAGCAGCACTGACCTCTGACGGGGATTCGCTTCGAGGGCCAGTTAGCCAAATAATGGATTACACTCTCGATCCATAGGGACAGTAAAAAAAAACATACTGGACTACCTTTGGTGAGCAGTGATTCTTTTAGGTTACCAGGACTTCTATGGTATGTTGGTTTCCGATGTAGGGAAGTCCTGCGCAAGGTCTCTGGAGCTCTGGTGGGCGGGTGCTCTGCCAAACATGTTTCGGGACAGTGGGCAGGAGCCTGCATCATAAGGATCTCCTACCTTAAGAACCCCAAACCCACTTTTCTGTAGGTTCTTATTATGAACCCTAATATGGGATTTCTAAGGGACCCTACAAAAAAGTAGGTTTTGGGTTCTTAAGGCAGACCCTAAACCCTGATACCTTTCTCTCACAGCCCAGTTAGGTAGGGCCCTCGGACGAACAAGACGCGGGATCCGGGATACCACAACGAAGAAGTACCCTCTTTTTCGAACCCGTACTGACAGTACTGAGGCCGAAACCCCAAAACCCTAAGCAATCTCCCATGCCATGCAACCCCAAGGCTTAAGGGACAACAGGAGGGAACCCCGAGAAGGGACCCCTAATCAAAATGCCCTGTATACCCCTTATATAGTCTCATTAAGCCCCTATATAACCCCAAGGGTCCCTTTAAGGGTCCCTCCTTTAGTCCCTTGAAAGGCTACCTAACCCGCAATTCGGACATACGATGCCCGTCAGTCTTCAAATCGGTTCACGATACAGACAAAGGTAATCCGCAAATTCTAGTATACTCTCCTATATTATACGATAACATAATATAATATACTGTACTCTACTCTAATATACTGATCCCTGAAGCATCCAGCCGGGCGACTTTCGAAGGCATCTGGGTCCCTTTCCTGCATCAGGTTTTAGGTTGAATGGTTCGGGGGGCGAAGGGGTTATCTAAACTTTGAGCTCTACAAAGCCTAAACCCGTCCTCTCCGCCCAGTCTCACGAATGCAATCTGGGAAGCAAGATTAGCAAGTAGTTTCTGCAAGTTGATAGCACGGCGACATCATAACCAAGGGAATTGTTCTCCGTTCCTCAGGTCTCATCTTCATCCTGTATGAAGAAAAATAAAACTTCCCCAAAACATCCAATCTCCAAATATCGCAGTGCCCATCCGAACCAGGAACAGAGCTGCCCAAAACCTAACCGGGTTGAGGGTACAGCATGTGTTGCCTCCCGTCTTCAGCATTGTAGGCTCTTGGAGGGCTTAAGATTTTGTACTCAGGTCCGGTGGCGACGCCTGCTTGCTCAGCACCGCTGCTGCATGGCATGCCGCGGCCAGGAGCGATGCGGTCTTGTAGAAGCTCTTGGCCAAATAGTCCTTTAAAGTTGATTTTGAGATGTCTGGGCTGAGAGACTTTAAGCTCGAAACACGATGTGTATATATATATATATATATATATATTATATATATATATATATATACACATACGGCCTGGTATGTAACTTGTCGGTTGCTCCGTTAAACCTGGGGTTCCGACTTCAGAGTTTGAAGTTCTTGCTTCAGTCAGTAAATACTGCCTCACCAGGGGCGTCAACTAACGTGAAACAGCTGACTAACAAACATCGTTTTGTGGAGACCTGGGCGCACTTCCCCAGCATCCTGGCTCAAGAGGCTTGCCACAAGATGTGCCTATAGGACTGCAGCGACTGGTCCAAACAGGAACTCTCATCGCATGGAGGGCTTTATAGGGTCGGTAGGATGACCATCGTGATGTTCAATGCTGCGACCCTATCCAAAGCCGCGAGGCGGGAATCCTGGGTCCCTGGCCCCACACAGACACAAAGATCCTCAAACCGTGAACCTCGGAGACCAACCCCCCAGGTACCTACTATATAGGGTACTAGAGACCCTGGGGCCCTAAATAGTAGGTACCTGAGGGGTTAGGGTCAGATTCTCAAGTCTCTCTTTTCCCATCCTCGAACCCCTTACTGCCCTAACTGCCAACACATCAGATCAACAAAACCGGCCTAAATGGTCAGAAAAGGGCACTATTCCTAACGATTCAGGCCGCCCAACAAGATACTGCTATACCCTCTACATCACCACAGATGTCCGAATAAAATCACATGAGCTAACAGCACTCCAGTCCGAGTCAAAACAGCCCTAAACCCAAAACCTTACTAGGGTTTAGGGCTTAGGGCTTTAG